TAAGCTAGCTAAAGCTTGTGTTATGGGTATTAGCTGATAAAAATACTAACACTATATACATATACTATAGTAAACACCCACACCGATACAAACAATTATACTCATGAATACAAATATTTGTGTCGTGCGAGGAATCGAACCCGCGACCATCAGAAGTAAACCACTAGACCACCTAGGCCGGAATTTTATAAATATGGAATAATAACAACATATAACAGTCTATCTATGTATCAAATTCTATTGACACCAATAATTTCAGTAGATTATATGTAAATTACGTAAATTAATTAAACAAAGTATTGTATTATACATAGTTCGTTGTAACTAGATACTTGCTAGGTAATCAAGCGATTCTGTCATGTAATAACGTTATCATAGGTATGTATCCAGTAACAACTTAGCTAAGCATCTTTCCTGTATCTATAACTAACTAATATTACTTACTAGCGATTTGCCCCGGCTTCGAACGGGTATTTAAATTTATATAACAACATTTTTATCAGAAATCATTCTAGGGAAATCCGTTCTGTAGTTTTTGAAATTATCGCGAACATGCAGACATACGCGCCTAGGGACTTTTTAATAATATGTATAGATAGATAAAAGGAAAGAATATTTTGATTTGTATGCTTGTTTTAAAAATATAACTGATTTCTATCTCTACATGGAAGTCGTATGTGAATAATTATTATTGAGGGATTTAATCAACATCGTAAAACCTAATAAACGGTTTAACCAATTTAGATGTGATTTTGCATTAACATTTTGCATTGTGTCACGATTTAATTAACAATAATTTTACAAATAAAAAAAGTTACAAGGGTATTATAGCCTACAAGCTGTTCCCGCGACTTAGTCCACGTGGAATTTAAGTTTATTATCCTAAAATAAAAGTAGCCTAAGTTACTTCCTATTACATCAGCTATCTGCCAAAAAAAGTCCCAGCAAAATCGGCCCAGCCATTTCAGAGATTAGTCGGAAGAAACAGATAGACAGACACAAAAATTGTAAAAAGTATTATTTTGGCGTGTGTTCCGTATTTATATTCATATGCATAGAGTATAGAACGGTTATTTCAATATTACAAACACTCTAATTGGATTTATATGCATAGATAATAATGTATATGTTATTCAGATGTATAAGCTATATTACTGTAAAGTTTCATCAAAATTCGTTCAGTAGTTTTTGCGTGAAAGAGTAACAAACATCCATCCATAGTTTATAATATTAATAATTAATAATAATAAGATTTGACAATAAATAGTCATGAATGATCAGTGGAGCTTGCCAAGTGCACTCATTGAATCTTACTTGACGTAACGCAACTGACGCACCGAGATGAAAGCGCTTGCTTTCTCGATGACGCAAAAACTATGCTCTCACGGCGGCCTTATCACATAGATTATAACGATGATATTCGCACGGTTCGTTATGAGAGAAATATGGATAATTTTGAGTCATATTCATAATGTGTCAACATTAACGTCATTAGGGCCATGCGGAAAACTAAACGTGGCAGATAATATAATTTCTTACTGATCAGTATTTAAATGTAAACTAATATACTATAAACACACAACAAAATTTTAGGAATACTAATACTTAAAAAATACTTGACTAACGGGAATCCCTTGAACAAGATAACTTAATTCATGTACTGAAGATAAATACTCTAATTTATAACTTCATTCTAATTTATGAACCCGAAATAAATGGAATAACTAGGCAGAGTACACTTAGATTGGGCTATAATTTTTAAAATCTCAATAACATTTTGTGAATGTCTAATCAATTAGAAAAAATAAATCAGCTATAGAATACTATATTCATAAAAAAAATAAGTTGTTGGTTAAGCGTAAGTAATAAATGTAGATAATAAGTTCCTCGAAATTAAAATGACAATGAATTTAAATTTTATTTATTTATAATTTGGTAAATAATATCTAAATTAATCAGAAGGAATAATTTTTCCTCACGTTAAACATAAGACTATGATGGAAGATTGCGGAAAGTTTGCGGAGAACTCCAAGAGCCATAGGTCTTAAATTTATAAATGAATGGTTGGAATACAAAGATATGATACTCCACAACAGTTTAATTTATCTTATTATAAAGCTTATGTGTCTAAAGATGACTGTTTATATTACGGTACGGTACCTTTCATTACAATAAACTAGAGGTCAATTATGAATCTTTGTCTGTCACTATTTTTGCTAGTCAATTATATTTAACTGTAGTTGCACTTTCTGCCTTCGGGCTGGGGTTCACATGGGTATCGCATGGAAGTCGACCAGTGGGTCGGCAGTAGGCCTGCCTGACGCGGTGCTTCTATTTGATTCTACTTCCATCATTATTATTGCTTTGTAATAAGAAAGACTGACATACCTATAATCATTTCTAAATACATAATAAGAATTGTGTTGCTCAAATTTGACCACAATACATAAGACAGATTTTGTTGACAGGACCAGATATTATTAAGATTGAGATGTGTTTTTTTTTTTCGAAAGTTAATGCTTTATAAATTGTAAACGTATATGCATTTTCAAGGGAGAGTAATGGCAGCTATTCTCCCCAGCACCTTCCTAGATACACGCATTATATTATCTAACACACTAAATAAGTAGAATGTTGAAGCTTTGAATGAAAAGTTTCTCTATTAAAATGTAACGTTAGTATTATCAATGTTATCACACGAGGAAGTTCGTGCACATAATGTTATCGTCCATTGAACTCATATTCGACTGTTGTTTGTTAATCACTGTAATAAAAAAAACGAATAATATGCGAGGTCTCTATTACGGCACCAAAACATATAATAACACTTTTTAGAATTCTAGTCTATTTGTAGGTCACGTAAAAACAACTGTATAAAGTTGAGTGCATTTTCTACTGATGTATATGTTACAAGAGGTGTAACATTCAACGTTAATGATAACATTCCGTCAATATTAAGGCGTGGTTGTACAATTTACGTTTACGGTATTTTCATAGAAAATCGCTTAGTGTTCATGTCGATTCTACTTTGACCGCATATACTAGTTCTACTTCATATAGCGTACATACCGTTTCTATGAACTTTAATAAAAGTCACCCGATATATTATATATATATATACCTATACATCAGTTCCCGTTACTGAAGACTAGAAACCGCATGTAGGAAAACAACGTTATACGATGCCTCCGTGTAACAAGTTACGCGGCCGCTATGTTCTAGATTTTAGTGATGATCTTGCATGTTCTCTCTAGTGAAATGTCAATTGTTCTATGCAATACACGGTCAGATAGATATGACGAAATTAAATAATTTAGTTATGAAAATCTGAATATTTACTTAGAAGAATAATACATTTATAATGGAATCGTATTATTAAATTAAATTAGCTGAAGATTATATTATAATCATTATTTTAAGCAAATTAATTTACGTAGCGTGAAGTTGATACTGGCTATATGAACCCTACATATAATATATGATATTTTTTATATACCCGACTTATTTGTTCGTTAAAAAATATTTGTTCCGTGAGAGGTATGAAAAAGTATATTAAACCGCTATACCACTGAGGCTGTCTTGCCGGTGTCAACCTGCTCGGGAATCACATAGATCACTCACACATCTCATACGTCACTCTTACTCATAGTATGTAATATTATGTTATCTGTGCTCATAGAGAGATAGTTAATAAGCATCTCTCTTTCTATTAATTACCATGAATGTGTATTTACTATGTATATTCTGTAAGAATTTACAAAAAAGAAATGTATATAAGTATTTGTATGCGTTGTTTAGTACCCATAACACAAGCTCGGCCTAACATGGGATTAGACGGCGCTGTGTGAATTGGCCTAGGTTATTATTATTATTAGATGCCTTTACTTAACTGTGAATATGCGTTTCTAAAATACATACGAACTGGCTCGATATGATGAGCATTTTTTATTTAGAACGGCTTTAAGATACATTTATAAAAATATTAAATACAGTAGTCTTTAGAGTTGTTCATAATAATAATACATGTTTACTTGAAACATTATACTATATTTCAATACTACCCGCAAATAGCAGATAGATAGTATAACGCTCAATGGTGCAATACATTTTCCCTTTGCAGTTTATTAATAACTAGTGATCCGCCCCGTCTTCACACGGTTGCAATTATTATAGAGAACAACTGTTTAAAAATATAACGTACCACCAATGCTTGTCTTCAATACAATAGCTTTCTATATGGAAAAATATTCTTAACATCGATTAGATTATTAAAATTAAAATTTTAAGTCTTTCCTCTTTACAATAGATATTAGTTTAAACTGGGGATTTCTGGATCTATTATACATTAATTAGTTTACCAGTTCGGGCGTATCTTTAAAATCATACAGATCTCGTTAGTATAATAACAAACTACGGAAACAACCGGCATTTAAACTATACGTTGTTCTAAAGCTCCACAATAATGCCTCGACGCAGAAAATAATCTAATCACTGCAGTCGTGTAGTTGCAGTAGCGTTTGAAGAGATAGAACTATTACCTTATTCACGAAAGCGTGGTGACCTCAACCATCAAAACATAATGCATAGCTATCTCTTTTCATTCTTACGGCTAAATATATAAAGGTCAAAGTCGTGCGATCAAGATGCAAGTGATGCACAAACCGCAATCCTCTCGTTTCGCGGGAATATTATTTACAAAATTAATATTTACCGACACAGACTGTAATTTTGTCATATTCTCGGCTTTATTGCGCAGAAAATAAGCATTTGTACCTCTTAATAATATATTTTGAGTAAGACGGAGTGTGTTGTCGGTGACAAGTTTACGCGCGATGCACTTTGAAAGTTTCATCTAAGAGTTTCTTGGTATTAGAAGATAAAAAATAGGCAAAGACAAAGTGACATAGTAGCATTTTGAAAATAAAATTAACATTAATTATTAAAATTTAGACACAGCAAAAATTTGTTTAAATACTTATTTTTGGAGATTATTTTATAGAATCGTCGTAAGAAAACGAAATTTAGGACCTTCTTATACATAAAACAAATTAAAATCAAAAATTTTATTAACTATGATCTATTCCATTTAAAGTGACCCAGCAGTTACTGTTAACATCGATTTCCCGGTACAGTTTGAAGCGAATTAAATCACTCGCTTTCTCTGCGATGGTCCGGCCACAGATCGTTATGAATTTGGAATCTTTCACGGTGCAACAGTACCAGATGACGTGCTAAGAAAATTGTTACGCGATGACTAGGTACTGTCGCAACTTTTAAAATTATAATTTAGTTTTTATATTTTTCCTTTTAATATTCCGAAGAATAAGGACATAAATGTGAGTTGAAATTCTTTTTCGGAAAACGTTAAAAACAAGCAACTATTGCACTCTAATAGGTTCTGGAGACAATAACGGTGCTACAGCTAGATCTAGCAATAAACAAGCTGCTACTGCGCTGCTCAAAAAGACCTTGGCCTGTACATGTCGCTTTAGAGGGATTCCCATAGCAAACAGCAGCTCAGCAACAACACGCGTCAACTCGCCAGCACGGCGCCAACGACGCCAAATAGCGGCAGCGTTTACAGCAAAGATAGCTGCTCCAGCTCCGCATAGGAATGCCTATAAAATTTTACATTACATTTATTAAAGACATTCTGATTCCGCAACTTCGTAGCCATATAAATTTTGGTTGTAAGCCAATTGCTATAAAAGAAACATTTTAATTGAATCTTGCCATAATACATAAACGAAAACCACATCCAAATCGGATAATCAGTTTCTGAGATTCCAAAGATATTTATTTTTGGTACAAGGGTATTTATCTCTGGGTGGTAATATAACACAGGTAAAATACCATATTAGGACGTGCGTATTGCTCATTTATGTGTATACATACACCTACGTATTAATTACTATTTAAGACAATTATAATTGATTATTGATAAATAACGATACAGGAAATTTCTGAGGATTATATTCCTAAGAAGAATCCATTGTCTACCTTCGTTTAAAAATTTCTGGATAGATTTGAGAGTCATCCATTTAACTTCTTTCTTGACATTAATTGAGAGCAAAGAATAAACTACTTATTACCGACCTGAAAAGCCTGACCGCCGCTATCCTCCGTGCCCGCACACAAAGCCAGACCAAGCAAAGTAATGCAATATGTAACTAATATACCGCCGGATACAGACTGTTCCCATCGGAACACGCGCACAGAACGAAAGTGTATCGTCAGAGCAGCCACCAGCAGAACCAGAGTAATCAACCGTAAGGCAAGAATTGGCGTCTTCTTATCATTATGACTCGTTGAATCGACCATAATAATAATAACTATTAATCTAAAGTCCGATTAACGTCATGACGTTTTAATAGATTTAATGACAACACGCCTGACAAAGAAAGTATAATAAGTGCTTTGTCAAGAGGACGTACAATAAAATCTTTGAAATGATCATGTACATGACATTCACCTGACAGACTGACATATTGACGGTTATTGTTATAAACACTTAAGTAAATAATCACTGTGTATAGCTCTAAAGAGATACTGTTAGATAGTTAGATACTGTTATTGTTCTTAAATGGAAAAGGATTTAGTGTTCGATAAGTAATATAAATTATATAGACATCAATTGATTTGTATTTCATAGTTCTAGAAGAAAATTTATGTTAATTCCAAATATCTTAGTGTAATATATGCATTAGGTAATACACTGTATATGCAATAATCTTCGACAATAAAAATAATACCTTAGTTGAAGAATCTACTAAGATACTATTAGATACTATTGTTTGATTCGTACCAAACATTGGATTCAATTGATTCTTGAGACCAGCCTTTAGAGTTGGGCAATGAGGTATTGGGGAATGAAACGAGTCCCAACGTAATAGTAAATCTCTTTACATAACTCTCTTGCAGTTCTTTATTCACCCAAACTTTTGAAAGATCTAGTAAGCAAACTTATAAGCCAACGATGGAGAAGTTACACGTACCCGACACAATAATTTCAATGCCATATCAAACCAGATCACAATAGGCATCTACTCAAAAATAATAATATTATTATCATTTTTTTTTCAAGCCAATGTTGTAGCTATATTTATTTACATTGTCATACTATATATACATAACTTAATTATACAACAAAGAACCTAAAATTAAAAGCATCTACTTAACAGCAGAAATAATGAACTTTATTTATGCAAATTCTCCCTTTGACTTGACATAAAATATCTTTTTGTCTTCAGGGTATGCAGAAGCGTTGTGTCGTTTCCCGGGGGCGCCAGCTCACTCCCATGTCACGTTCTCTGATGAGAAGATGTCTGAAGGCACGGTGGCCACGTACACTTGCGAGCAAGGCTTCGAGCTCCTGGGACCAGCCAGGAGAGTATGCAGCGCGAATGGACGATGGACACCGGACGGCATACCATTTTGTGGTAAAAAATATTTATTATAATCTTAATCTTAAAGATCGTAACTTAATTATAAAGTTATTGCAAAAAAATATATTGTTGTTATTTTCTAAACTTTCTACAATTAGTGAAGATAATAGTAAATTAATCTTTTGTTTTACATGTAATTTATTGTTATAATCTCCATATAAATTATACTACATCAATAAATTTGAAAAAAATGTCTTTGCAAAACACAGATTAGACATAGAACATCACAGACTCTAGTAGTTGTAACTCTATGCAGTTGCAGCTAAAGTTACATATTTATATATTTGCTCTAACTAAAAATACTCCTGTAGATATGCTCCATTGACCAACAATATACAATTAAATAAAAATGTTGTATTGTATACAACACAAAAATTCTATGCAAATTCTTGTTGAGCACAACAAGGATTTTTATTTAAAATTTTAATGGATAGATATAAAATAAGCAATGATTCACTTTACCAAGTGGAAATTTATCTGTTACCCTGAGACCCTTACACAGACCCTTTACACAGGACCAATAAATTATATCTTTCCTATAAAAAAATATCCAAACGTCCATCAGAATAGCGTTACCAAAAATATCTCAAAATACATTATTTGTCTAAAAATACATTATTATGTCATTGTTATTACAACCAGTAATACTATTACCGAAGTATTACTATGCAAAATACTGCTCCAGTAAGTCAATGACGGCATACTCCCAAACTGCATTTAGGCAGAACAATGTATGTCGCAATATCTCACCATCACAGCATCGCGTACACAGCTCACCACTGTCTGCATGACCCACTTTTACTTTCTTCGTTGAGAAATCACTTCACACGGGCCGTGAATGGAGACGAAAAAGCGGAAGGTATTGTGCCCGCCGTACTGCACTCCCATCGCTCTCTCCGCCTCCGGAAAGTGCGGCTTGCCATTGTCGCGCCCTTGACTGTGACAGTTGCCACATTTGCGCGAGATTATCTTCATCTAATAGTAGACAATACGTTACCTAATCATAATTACCTGTGGATTATATCTACGTCCGTAAGTAATGAATTTATTTTGGTAACTAAGTATTTCTTGTCAATCAGGGTTGGAGGGGAGGGATCGTTTGTGAACGGGACTAGTGGCCTCATTGTTAGTAATGTAACATGTCCAGTATTTTAGTACTTACTGAAGGACATTGTGCCCAATTTCACCACTATGGGCTTAACCTACCTATCTCGATGCTTATCATATTATTTTCGACAGATGTTCCGCCAGGACGCTAGAATAGATAGACGTACCTGGCACCATTCAATATTCAGGCATAAGAAAAAATATTTTACGATCCCCAATTGACCAATTGGGTGGAGATCATAAATATTACTATCAGTTAATTAATATTCGAAGATTATAATATCGCACGCTAACTATTAAATCATGTAAATAATTCGCAGTAAAACTTTAAGTGCACTCTTAAACAAATATGAATAGTTATTGAAGTTATTATAGGAGAAAATAATATATAATATACTAATAATGTAAATAAAAAATTCGATCCCAAGAACTAAAAACTAACTCAAATCTCTTACACTGATTGTGAGATATTTCACCCAGATAATTGTGGCTGACGACGAGTATAAATAAAAATAAATTATAAATAAAAACAGTTCACCCAATTAATATTTAAAAGAGAAAGCTAAGTTATTATTATTTAAGTTTACGTAACGGTCTCAGCATAATGGCGATAATAAAGCAACGGAAACATTCTATGTCAATATATCTGTATTGTTGTCTGATTGATATTGAGAGCGTATACGTATGACACAATTTGACACCCGATCGGTCAGATTATCAGGGCCAGATATAGGCTTTCTCTTATCACACAAACAAACATGGGGCTCCGGGTAACCCATCTATCCTCCCTAATTACTCTGGATAAGATATTGGTACTTTTAAAAGGACTTATAGAACCCTCACATAGATTTCTTGCGACTGTTATGACTGATTAGATAGACAGTAGCATTGTTAACTGTCGTTGTTGCATTGTTTGGTGAATGCAATTGATCTGATCACATTAGCTCGGTATATTTGAGTCTAACATTACAAGGGATGTTTCTACCATCTTACAGATTAATTTCTAAATTGTTATAGGAGTACCCTAATTTGCACCGACTCTCTGGTAATCCAGAGAGTCGGTGCAAATATATGGACATACTAATTACAGTCAACACGACTGAGGTTGCGCGACTCGTTGTTACGTTTGAACAACGAAACTACTAGTTCCTGCGAGAGATAAAAATCGGAAGTATATACGACAAAAATCTATACTAATATTATAACGAAGAAAGCTTTCATTGTCTATTTATTTGCAATGAATATACTTTTAAACTATTGAACTTGAAAAAATATTTTACCATTAAAATTATATACGTGTGCGAAGCCGAGGCGGGGTCCGGTAGTCCGGTGACCGTGTAAATTTGATATGTAAATCTCTACATGTTACAATTATGGCTGTTGTAAACAGTGTTTTTCAATCTGTGGGTCGTGACCCCTAGGGGGGTCTCGAAGCATTACTCGGGGGGTCGTGAAGCATTAGTCGGGGTTCAATGTATATAATATACAATAAAAACACAATTTTAGTGAATGTGCTTGTTTATTTTTAAAAAAATTATGAATCAGTAAATGATTGAAATTTTGCTGACTGAAAATGTTTAGTAACGTTTATTAACGTTTCAAAACATTAATAAACTAATCATTTTATAATTGTAGTCTATTTCTCTTTTTAGTTTTAATTTCTACCATTGAACAAAAAGTCAGTTCACACAAGTATGTAGTGGCGAATTGCACTAATAATTTAAGTGAATAATAGATCCCTGTACCAAAATAAAAACAAAATCTTACCTGACTTACCCATGTATGCTTTAATTTTTTTTTCACACAAGGGGTCGGCATAATATTTTAAACTATAAAGGGATCGCTAAATCAAAAAGATTGAATAACACTGGTTTGCAATAACGGTAAGAGATGTCGGTGGAGAGTCGTCATTTAATAATTGTGTTCATAACAACGCCGGCGACAGGTGGCCAGCAGCGTGCGCGCGCCGATAACGCCATGCAGGTGTCATTGTGCGCTCGTAACTGGGGCTTCGTCCGGTGGCGGCGCTGCACGACCATCACACGATCGACGCGGATGTAGAAATTATTCTATATCCTTGCGTGTAATATATATTACAAATAATACTAAAACCACAGTATGCATTCCAGAAAAACAAGCGATTTAAAGATTTATTCACCCATATAAGCTATATTAGCATCATTGAGTTCATAAAAAAACTGAAATGTAGAAATAATTGTAGCCGTACGAAGGCTGAGCGGGCCGCTAGTGTACCTAGTTAATATAAAATTAGTGTGGTACGTGGCAAAGAAGGCCATAAATTAGATATTATATAGTAGTAGATGTGCCTGCGGCCTCGTCCGCGTGGAATATTGACCTTGACCAAATAAAGAAAAAATATTTAATAATCTAATCTTGGAATTTTTTAATTGACTTGGAATATAATATTAATTTATCTATATTTATTTAATCAACAGCCTAAAAAATAATTTTTATTCTTCTATCGATAACGATAATTCTGTAAAGGTTGTACCTTTCATCTCCCCATTCAACACCTTACGACTCTTTTTTTCTTTATTTATATTTAATCAACAGGCTTAAAAATATGTTTAAAGTAAGTTCAAATATGTTTCTTTAATAATGACGATACTTCCATACAACCCTCCATGTCCCATTTCAACCCTTTTTCGCATTATAAAGTAGCCTATGTTCTTTCTCAGGGTCTTGACTAACTGTAGACCAAATTTCATTTAGATCGGTTCATTAGCAAGAAAGTATTAACTAGTTATGACATCCTATAATAGCAGTTTCAATAATATATATTGAATATATTAAAGAAATACAAAAAATAAACAAAACCATAGTGTACATAGTACTACAAACAGTACTATGGTTTTTTTTTATCATCAATTACAGGTATAGAAATTGTTTAGCCAATCTAGCATAGTTTACATCTTTGTAGGAATTGGATCATCGAGTTGTTTGCGTGACTGACGAGTCATGTATAAAATTACAATAAGAACACAACGGTGATCACCTATGCTAGACACAAGTCATCGCCATTTGTGGATTAAACATCATAGTTAAATCGATAGCATTAATCCATAAATGACAACGATTTTCTAATAAGTAAGTTCAGCCGCATTTTATGTGTCTATACTTACTAGGTCAGAGACCCGATGGGTCAGTGTGCCATTGTGACAATCCGATCGAAGGTGCATGTGGCGAATAATAAATAGCATCCATTTATAGAACGATGACAAACACGTCCCATATAACTTTATTGTTTGTAGCACGACCAACTTGAGCTTCTATTAGACAGGGTTACCTACTTTGTGTAAAAAATAAATATTAATATTTCATTTATCTTTTAAAATATTTTTAATTTGTTTGTTATATTTCAATGAATATTTTCTTAAAGTAAACTAGTTTAATCTGTCTGTGGAGTCGGTGTAATTTTTAAATATCACGACTTTATGAGCATCGTAATAGTACTTTAATTTATGTATATTATTAAGAGGAATCTGCTATTTGTGTTAATTCTAAAGTGCAATGATATTTCCGTTTTTCTTCGTTGGATCAGTAGGTTGGTGTGATGCGACTTCCTCAATTTAAAACTTTACATCTCGAATATTTTCAGGTATAGTTAGGAGTGATTGGTAACCCTAACATTGGAACTTACATTTATTATAGTGTACAATCAATTTTATATTTGGTGACAGTGAAACCATGTCAGAAACAAGTGTCTTATTGTGACAACGAAACAAAGATGTCTCATATTATTATTTTAATACATTATACTGATCTTTTAGGCTAGTCGCACATATTTAGTTTTCTTTTATTTACTTTGTGTTTTAAAATCAGAATAACATTTATTTAGAAAATATAACTGTGACATTGATAAAAAT